TATAGCAATAAAATCGTAAAAGAATCAAATTCACTCGCTTAGGCAATCTAGTGTTAACATACAGGTACGGCTAGTATTTTATTCTTTCCACTTTTTCTTCCATTTCACAATATCTCAATTTCTCTGCAATATCCAAAGACGTAGCCCGGCGATTAATCAGCGCAAACACTCGTCCGGAGTCTACAAGTATGTAAATGCCGCGAATGCATAAAGCAGTCTGTGTGATTGACGAAACATTATCATAGAAACAATCTACAACGGGACTACAAGGCTGATTGAAATCAACTTGACGCTTGAGATCGCCGGGATAAATGAGTCTCGCGATAAGAAACATCTGTCCTTTTCTTTTTCTGAAATGAACTTTAAGAGACGCTTGCAGTTTTTCAACGTCCGCGCGGTGCCGTTCCCTCGGCTCGCAGGAAGATCCGTGGCATTTTTGCCGGTAACGTCGTGATCATCGGGCTCGACAACTGTTAATGGCTGAATCAATCTCGACCTCCGTCCAGAGAGGGATGACTGTGGGGGTGGGGGGGTTGAGCGAAACGAGGCGGAGGGGAAGGAGACGGGGTGGCAATCCTTGAAAGTAAATATTCGAGATCAACGACAACGATCGTCGGGATCATATCGGACTGAGCCGAGCCGAACGGTGCCGTGAGTGAGAGAGAGTGAAAGTACGACATTATAATACTCATCGCGGTTCGCCCAAAGGATTAACCATAAATTGCGCGTCGCATCAAATGCCAACTGGCAAGTTAATGACTACCGTAATCATTTTGAAAGTCCGGTAAATCGGTGAACCGTGAGAATGAACAAGATATTCCCTACCGTGTCCTCTCCTGGCACGGTTGCGTCATCCCCCCCCCCCGGACAACATGATGCTATTTGTTCTTCCGACAACGAGGCCCAGGCGAGCCGCGTGATGTCCGATTGAATGTCACTGGCTGAGAGAGGCCGAGAGCCACGTTCCCAATCTGACGCGGACGTCTCTGTTCCCTTCGGTGTATGTGCATTGGTACCCGCGGACCGTTAATAGAACTTCCATTTACCACGGCCAGGATTTTGATTAGGATAACCGTTCTCGCGGGTAATCACCGGGTAACCGACTCCGCGCGGATACCGCGCGCCCATTATCGCAATTGATCCTGCAGCTGTTTTCCTCCTTGGCCACCTCTGCCTCGAGCTGTCAATAGAACGGGGATCCTGGCGCGCGATTGTTTTCCGATAGCTGCGACACGTTCGCGGCTCGATCGTGTTCTGTCGATTTTAGGGGATTTCTTATTCAGCGATGCACGTTGCTCCAGAAGATCGGACACCGTGGATTGGAGTTGGGCAAAATTTTATTCGGATGGCGGAAAAAAGATAAAGATCAACGAATACACTAGCGAATAAATGTTCAAGAATTGATTCGTATGGAAAATAATCGATTCGAATAAAAATGGTATAGAATAGAAAGTGTTTTTTTTTTAATAGTTTATCGATCAATATATATTTCTTCCATATTCCTTTTTACAATTCACTTCTTTTCAAATGTTGCATCGGAAAGTTTATTACTTTTTTGGTAGATCGATCATTGATTAATAACTAAACGCCAAATTTTATGCATTTATGACAACAGTGAGTAGATTGGATACAACGGATTAAATGCAGAACAAAAATTTAACAACGTTGATCCGTTAGTTTCAACCGATTAAAAATGTTAACAGAGGAAATTAATTTTGATTTAATTCCTGTTTGTTGTGATCTAGGTAGAGCATTTTTATTTTGCATAAAGCTAAATCATCTTTTTACGGATACCGAGGAAAACATCGATAAT